CCCGCGCCCGGTCTGTTCCCAGCGCCGCGGCCGGCTGGGGTCCCCGGGAGCCGCGGAGAGCTGGCTCCGCTCCTGCTGGGCCCTCGGGCGGGTGGGGTGGGCGCCCTCCTGGGCAGGGCCCTAGGGTTCCCCAGGAGGCGGAAGTGAGTGGGTGCCTTTGCTGTACCTCCTGTTCTTCCCTGCTGGGGCTCGGGGGCTCTGGGGCCGAGCTGGGGCTCCGGTGGCCTTCGCCCGGTTCCGCTGTCGGTTGAATGGAGGAGTAATTCTCTCCTCCAGTTAGAAGGTTGTCATTGAATCGTTGGTGCCTTCCCAACCCAGAACCATGGCTCTGTGGGTGTCAGCTTTTGGTAGCTCCTGGCCAAGATGCAGGTCCACAGCGCTCAGCTCCACCGTAGGGTTTCCTGTGAAAAGAATACAAACAAAACCTTGGCCCTGACTGCTCACACCTGTATTCCTTGCTCTTCAGGATGCTGAGAAAGGAGTTTAAAGCCAGCTCAGGCAGGGAAGACCGGGAGACTCATTTCCAAGAAGTAGAGCTCTAGCCTTGAGCAAAACTAAACAAAACCGAGGGACAGCACCTAGGCCCTGATTTCAAGCCCGGGACTCATCTCTCCCACCTGTTTGTTTTTTTTTAAAGGTAGTCCTTGAGATGAAGAGGAAAAGGACATTAAGAACCCAAATCAGACCTAACCTTGTTAGTCAGGGAAAGGAGAGACGGACTAAATCTGTGAGGAAAACTAACTTCTGGTCGGGTGCTAGTGGCAAATGCCTGTCTTCCTAGCTCCTTGGTAAGCTGAGATCTGAGGATCCTGGTTCAGAGCCATCCTGGGGCAGGAAAGGCCTTGAGGATCTTTTTTTTTTTTTTTTCGGTAGTGGGGCTTGAACTCTGGGCTTGGGCCCTGTCCCTCAGCTCTTCAGCTCGAGGCGAGCGCTCTACCACTTGAGCTACAGCGCCACTTCCGGTTTTCTGGTGGTTTATTGGAGATAGGAGTCTCAAGGTCTCTCCTGCCCGGGCTGGCTTTGAACCGCGATCCTCAGATCTCAGCCTCCTGAGTAGCTAGGATTACAGGCGTGAGGCACCAGCGCCCGGCAGGCCTTGAAATTCTTATCTCCAATTAACGCCCTGAAAATTGGAAGTAGCCTGTGGCTCAAAGTGGTGGAGCACCAGCCTTGAGCTGAAGAGCTCTGGGACAGCTCTCAAGCCCCTTGACCAACAACAACAAAAACCCCCTAGCTTCTCCCCACCCTGGCCTCTGGAGGTGTGGACTCTTGCAGGGCTTTGGCCTGGGAGCTGCTGATATGGCAAACGGTGTGGAGGTGAGGACACCAGACAGGGTTCAGGGGAGGAAGAGCCAGGATTCTTGCTTTCCTGTACTGCTCTGCTCAGCCCTTGGAGGGCAGCAGCCGTTTGTCTCAAGGCAGAAGGAAGTCTGCAAAAAGCCCAAGGAAGCCCTGTCCCTTCCCCTCTCCACATGAGGCTGAACTCAAGAGGAGGTACAGTGAACCTCACTAAGATGGCTGGTCATATTCCACCTGTGTGTGTGGAGGGGGTGTCAGCTCCCTCGGTGTGTGTGTGTGTGTGGTCTGCCAGAGTATATATCTGTCTGCAGTGGAGATGGTGAAGTTGACAGAAGTTGTGGTTTGCTGAAAAGCGAAGTTATTTCATTTGACTTGTACGTCATGGAGACGAAACCCAGAGTCTCACACATACTGAGCACTGAACCACAGGCCCAGCTCTCATTTAATTCTTCTTCTTTTTTTTTAATTGGTGTGGGGCTTGAACTCAGGGCCTGGGCATTGTCCCTGAGCTTATTTGCTCAAAGCTAGTGCTCTACCACTTTGAATCACAGCACTACTTCCAGTTTTTTGGTGGTTCAGGGTTTCATGGAAAGCTGGGAAGGTGGCTTAGTGTAGAGTGCTTGCTTAGCATGCATGAAATCCTGGGTTCCATTCCTTAGTACCACATACATAGAAAACACCAGAAGTGGTGTTATTGTTCAAGTGGTAGAATGCTAGCCTTGAGCAAAAGAAGCTCAGGGACAGTGCCCAGGCCTGGGGGCTGGGGGGGGGGGAAGAAGAGTTTCATGGACTTTCCTGCCTGGACTGGCCTTGAATCTTGACCCTCAGGTCTCAGCCTCTTGAGTAGCTAGAATTATAGGCCTGAGCCACCTGAATGTGCTGGTGGTTGTAGTCTCCAGCTTGCTTGGATTTACAAATTCATGCCAGACCTGCTGAGGTTGTAAAGTTGAAACCCTTAGAAGAAACCCCACCTGCTGCTCTAGCACTGTCCTTTCTGGCCCTGGCCTGGCTGTCATGCGACACGGGCTAGGCCATGCTTTGCTGCACGTTGGCTCTGACTGGGGCTAGCTGCTTTCCCTCTCTGTGCTTCCTTTCAGGGCAGGGCTTAGACTGGGTGGGATTGCATTCACATAGATTTATCTGGAAGGGAGGTGAGGTAGGTATGCCTCTGTATTTTTTTTTTTTTTTCAGGTCATGGGGCCTGAACTCTGGGCCTGGGCGCTGTCCCTCAGCTCTTCAGCTCAAGGCTAGCGTTCTATCACTTGAGCCACGGAGCCACTTCCGGCTTTTTCTGCTTATGTGGTCCTGAGGAATCGAACCCAGGGCCTCATGCATGCAAGGCAAGAGCTCTACCACTGAGCCACCTTCCCAGCTCCCTGTTTTTGTTTTTTGTTTTGCTGGTCCTGAGGCATGAATTCAGGGCCTGGGCTCTGTCCCTGAGCCTTTATGTATGTGCTCAAGGCTAGTGCTCTACCACTTGAGCCACAGTGCCGCTTACAGCTTTTTCTGTTTATGTGGTACTGAGGAATCGTACCTGGGGCTTCATACCTCCTAGGCGAGCACTCTACCCAGCCCCCCCCCTTTTTTTTAAATGATAAGCAGCTCAGTAGTAGACTTGAGTGCTTACCCTGCGCAAGGCCTTGGGTTCAGCTGCAAGTAGCCCTTTCCACCCATCAATAAAAAGGCTGGGCAGCTGTCAGCTGAGTGGTGTGGTTCTCTTTCCACAGTTGTCATGTGTCCCTAGTGTCTGTCAGCTGTGGCAGGCGAGTGCTCGTGGAGTGGAGCATGGTTCTGTCATAGACCAGACCCAGGCGGTGACGACTGTGATTACGGGGTCTCCCTTGAGTGATGAGAACGGCCGCAGCTATGCAGAGAAGAACTGCCAGACACCAGGGGTGATTCCTGCCGCTGGGGTCACACTGCCTAGAACGATTTTAATAGTGCCGGGCACTGGTGGGTCACACTTGTAATCCTAGCTACACAGGAGGCTGAGATCTAAGGATTGCTGTTTGAAGCCAGCCTGGGCAGGAAAGTCGATGGGACTTCTCTCTTACCACCAAAAAGTTGTAAGTGGAGCTGTGGCTCAGTTGGTAGAGCACTAGCCTTGAACATAAAAGCTCAGGAACAGTGTCTGAGTTCAAGTCCCAGTACTGGCACACACATGGAGATTTCAATAGTGAGTTTGATAAGTTAGGTTTGTTTGCTTTTTTTTGCTGGTGCTCTACCGCTTGAGCCAGAGCTCCACCGTAAATTGTTCCAGTGGACTTGACTCACATGGCCTGTGGGCATCTTTTAAACAGTAGCCGCTGCAGCTGCGGACAGCATGGGGCATTATCCCGGAAGTCCCCTCCAGGTATCCAAGGCCACTTGGCCTGTTGTCTGATAGCGTTTATTTTCTGTCCTTTATTCAGACCTTTTAATATTGAGAAGCGGGACTAGACCGCAACCTTGCAGGCAGGCAGTGTCGCAGCTCTCCAGACCATGGCATTCACCTTTTATTTTTATTTTTAACTGTTGTTGTCGGTTGTGGGGCTTGAACTCAGGGCCTGGGCGCTGTCCCTCACTCTTGTGCTCAAGGTGATGCTCTTGCCATTTTGAGCCACAGTGCCACTTCTGGTTTTCTGGTGATTATTGGAGATAAGAGTCTCACAACCACTATTGTAAGATCTCAGGCTGCTGAGTGTGGGTTACACGCGTGAGCCACTGGCCACTGGCTGCGTGTTTTATTATAGTGGGAGAGCTGATGTTGCCTTGGGAATACATCTTGACCTGCTTCTGTAGAAATTGCTCGTTTTCACTCTTCCAGGAGCATTGCTCCTTTGTTGTTTTAAAGAAGCATGCAGTTTTCTGCTCCCCCCCCCCCAGTCTGCCAGCAAGAAAGTAATTTGAGTAAAATCACTTTGCCACTCTGCTGTGCTTTCCCCATCACCTTTCGAAACGGCTGCAGTTGAGAGTATGGCTTGGAGGATTGTGACACGCACACTGAGCCATCCCCAGTGACCATCAAAGCTAGGTGCCACACACCTGTAATCTCAACTTCTCAGCAGGTGCAGATCTGAGGGTCTTGGGTAGGAAAGTCTGAGAGACTGTCTCCAATCACCCACCAAAAAGGTGGAAGTGGAGCTGTGGCTCAAGTGTTAGAACACCATCCTTGAACACCAAAGCTAAAGGAGAGCACCAAGGCCTTGAGTTCAATCCCCAGTACTGCCAAAAAAAAAAAAAAATAAGATAACCATTAAGATAACTGGAAGGTCATGGCCGACCCGCCCCCCCCCCCCCCCCAGTGCCGCCCCGTCTGGGCCTCCCTGCAGCTTCTGAGGAGGCCGGAACACAGGCGCCAAGGACCCTGAGCCCCCACCGCTAGGGCTGGACATTTTGTGAAGGTTTCTGTGAAGGGCGCAGGCACACAGAGCCCCGGGCACCCCTCTGCACCCCTCACCTGCCCTCCGGGCGTCGCCTTCCTGCCATTGTGCTGTGTCATCTCTTCAGAGCCCTGAGTTTCCTTTGCTGCCCCGGGGCTGCAACCCAGGGTCTGGGTTACCCAACTCTGTGTGTGTGTGTGTGTGTGTGTGCATGCGCACGCGCATGCGAACGAGAATGTGCAAGAGAGAATGTGAGCGAACCAGCATTGGTATTTTAACTACTCAACGTCGCATGCTTTCACTCATTTCTTTTCCTCCCTCATGGATGGTGCTGTGCCTGTTGAGCCACATTTCCAGTCAGACTTTTAGCTGGTTAATTGGAGGTAGAGTCTTGCAGTCTTTCCTGCTCAGATCCTCTGATCTGAGCCTCCTGAGTAGCTAGGTCAGATAGGCGTGAGCTGCTGTGCCCGGCTCTACATTTAAGTATGAAACAGTTGAGCCGTGTTATTCCTTTCTCTGGGTGGGGCCAGGGGGAGGAGCGTGGGTGGGCCTTGCAGGTGTCTGACGAGGTGGCATCAGATCTGCTGACACCTGCAGGGTCCTGTGTGGCCCTGGCATACTTCCCGCCCAGTCCAGCTGAGAAAGGACCTCTGGCCTAGACTCTGCCTGCCGGTGCGGCAGGTGTAGCAGGCTCCTGGTGCAGCCAGCGCTGTATGAGCCTGACCTGGCTCTGGGTGGGAGCATGTTTGCTGCCACATGCAGATCTGACGGGGACAAACTTTGGCTGCCTGTCGTGTGGCAGGCTCTGGGCTGCAGCCTCTGCAGGTTCTCACGTGGATTGTCTCTTGGTCCCATTTCCCAGCTGGAGAGACTGAGGCCCAGCGAGGTTGGCAGGAGTAGCGCTGTCTCTGGTCCCTGAAAAACTGCTTGTGGGGACTGGGAAGGTGGCTCAGTGGTAGAGCGCTTGCCTTGCATGCATGAGGCACTGGGTTCGATTCCTCAGCACCACATAAGCAGAAAAGGCTGGAAGTGGCGCTGTAGTTCAAACAGTGGAGCGCTAGCCTTGATCTGAAGAGCTCAGAGATGGCGCCAGGCCCAGAGTTCAGGCCCCACGACCAGCAACAACAACAAAAAATTGCTTGTGCTCAGCCTGCTCCAGGCAGCTGCTGCTACCCATTGCTTTCCTCACAAAAGCCCACGTCACTCCACTACTGCCCAATAAGTGTGGGAGCCATGCAGATATGAAGAATTAGCCAGGCATTTGGGGTTGGGAAGGTGGCTCAGTGGTAGAGCACTTGCCTTGCATGCCTGAGGCCCTGGGTTCGATTCCTCAGCACCACATAAGCAAAAAGAAAAAAGCCGGAAGTGGCGCTGTGGCTCAAGTGGTAGAGCGCTAGCCTTGAGCTGAAGAGCTGAGGAACAGCGCCCAGGCCCAGAATTCAGGCCCCCCGACAGGACCCCCCCCAAAAAAAAAAAAAAAGGCCAGGCATGGTGGCTCACACCTGTCATTCATTCCAGCTACTCTGGAGGCTGAGATCCAAGGATAGAGGCAGATAAATCCGAGAGATTCTCCTCTCCTAAAACCAGCAAAAAAGCCAGAAGTGGATTTGTGACTCAAGTGGTAGAGCCTTAAACAAAAAAGCTCAGGGACAGAGTTCAGGCCCTGAGTTCAAGCTCCAGAACTGGCACACGCGTGCACACACACACACAGAACATTTTTAAATAAATGCTTTATTTTTAGAGTTAAATAATAAACCGTGTTGATGAGAGGCGTTCCATGTCGTAGTGAGGCGGATGGCTGCTTTGCATCTCCCGCTTTCTCAGCAGCGTGCCTGTGCAGGGCACGGCCGCCGCAGTCAGCGGCATGCCTTCTGCCTGCTGGAAGTCCTGGACAGTAGAGCGTCCACCAAAGGTGCTCAGCTGTCCGAGGGACTGTGAAAGCAAAAAAAGACAACAGCGAGTTCTGACGAAGTGTTTTTGTTTTTTGCTTTTGGTCGGTCGTGGGGCTTGAACTCTGGGCCTGGGTGCTGTCCCTCTGTTCTTCAGCTCAAGGCGAGTACTCTACCTCCTGAACCACAACACCACTTACAGTTTTCTGGTGGTTAGTTGGAGATAAAGAGTCTCACAGACTTTCCTTGCCTGGGCTGGCTTTGAACCATGATCCTCAATCGTAGCCTCCTAAATAGCTAGGATTACAGGTGTGAGCCACTGTCCCCTGGCTGGCTAAGCTATTTTGGTACAGAACCTTATCTCACAAGTTTTGTTTATTTCTTTTTGCCGGTCCTGGAGCTTAAACTCAGAGCCTGGGCACTGTCCCTGAGCTTGTCTGTGCTCAAGGCCAGCACTCTACTACTTGAACCACAAGCCACTTCCCATGTTTTCTGTTTATGTGGTACTGAGGAATCAAAAGTCAGGGCTTTATGCATGCTAGGCAAGCACTTTACCACTAAGCCACCTTCCCAGCCCCACAAGTTATTCATTTCAGTTAAACTTGATAGAAATTTATTTAGAAAATCCTAGTCTTTAGAAATTCAAAGCCAAGCTGGGTGCTGGGTGGCTCACACCTGTAATCCTAGCTACTTACGAGGCTGAGATCTGAGGATCATGGTTCAAAGCCAGCCCAGGCAGGAAAGTCTATGAGATTCTTATCTCTAGTAAACCACTAGAACATTGGAAGTGGCACTGTGGCTCAAGACCTAGAGCATTAGCCTTGAGCTGAAGAGCTTACAGCTCAGTGCCCAGGCCCCATGACCAGACCCCCCCCCCAAAAAAAAAAAAAAAAGAGCTGAGGGACAGCGCCCAGGCCCAACGACCTACCAAAAAAAAATTTCAAAGCCAGGCAGAGGAAAGTGGAGGTCGGACCAGTACCCAGAGCAGAACTACAGGAGAAATGGCAAGCACTGTGATAGCAACTTTGTGGTGTCCCATAAAGTGGGCACAGTTACTGTTGCCTGCTGTCCATGTGTGCCTGTGCTGGGTTCGAGTTCATCCTCCAGCTTTCTGGTAGACCGCATGGTATCAGTTTTGGGCAGCTAGAAGGCGTGAGCTTGGGCTCAGGCTTGCTGCTTGGATGGTTGGGGGAGATGAGGTGCTGGCTGGTTTCTCGGTGACATTGTTCTCTATTTCTGCAGTTCTTGACCCGCCTGACGGAGAGGTTCGTGTTGGGAGTGGACATGTTTGTGGAGGCGCTGTGGAAAGTTTGGATGGAGGTCTTGGATGTTCTTGGGCTTGACGGTAGGTGCTGTGTGTTACAGGGTTGTGTGTTTTTGAAAGTCCTTCACTGTTTTCCTTTGTGTGAGATAAGGTCCTGCTGTATAGCCCAGGCTGACCTTGAACTCCTCATCCTGCGTCTCAGCGCTGGGATCGCAGGCGCTGTTATGGTGGGGCTCTCACCTTGTGGCCGCTGGGCGGTGTGGGAGCCCGAGGCTGGTCTAGGGTTTGCGTGGATTAGTGGTGGTGAGGCGGGTCTTCCCAGATCCCATGCAGGAGGAGGGTGGACCGCGGGGCCTGTGGGGTGCTCCCTGGGTCGGTGGGAGCCGAGAAGCAGCTGGGCGTTTGGCCTGTGGGGTTTCACAGATGAGGAGGGGGCACTTGCAGCGCCCCCCCTCCCCCAGGGGCAGAGGGCCACGCGTGGCCTGGCAGTGGCAGGGGAGCCGGGCAGTCCTGCGGGCCGTGGGAGTGGTGGGCAATAAGCCATTTGGGGCCGGAAGGCAGTTGCATGGTGCAATTTAGTTGTGCAATGGCAGGCACAGGTTCCTAGCCAGGAGGAGAGCTGTGGGCTTGTCCTGCGGGGCCACACATGGGGAGGGCAGGGGCCCTTGCGTGGCACTCACTGGGGGTGGACCAAGGCTAACCTGGCCAGACACCTACTGCGTTCTGGCTTTGGTGTCCTGACCACGTGTCTCTGTGTGGCCGCCCGGCCTGCGGGGGCGGGGGGGAAGGGGGGGGCGAACACCCAGCTCTCCCTGAAGCCCCACATAGGGAGCCCCCATGCACCTGCTGGCCTCATGCCCACAAGTCCACATGTGAACGTTCTGCGTCCCTGCCACCCGCACTGGAAAAGCAGAGCGCCAAGGGCATTGGGCACCAGCCCGGCGACCAGGCTCCGCCTTCTCCCAGTGAAAGCACAGGCTGAGCCGCTTCCCTCGGCAGTGTGACAGCCAAGGGCCTGTGCCTTCCGTGGACGCCTCTGCCCGGCATGAATCAAATCAGCAAACTCGCTGGGTGCTGGTGGCTGCGATCTGAGGATGCAGGTTCTGGTTCAGGCTGGAAAGTCCATGAGACTCTTTAGTATCTCCAAAGAACCATCAAACAACAACAACTCCCTTGCAGGAGGGCAGTTGTGAGCTGCCCTAAGCCCAGGCTGCCACTCAGGCTCACAGAGGAGACCGTTTCTGCTTTGTCCCCGGAAGGTGGGTTTGTGCCCATGGGGATGAGCACACTTGGTGGAGTAACCCAAATTGGACTGGGGCCTGATCTGAATGACTTCTGTCCTTGTAAGAAGTGGGAAGTTTCAGCCAGGTGCTGGTGTCTCACACCTGTCATCCTAGCTACTCAGGAGGTTGAGATCTGAGGATCGAGGTTCAAAGCCAGCCCAGGCAGGAAAGTCTGTGAGACTCATCTCCAGTAGACCACTAGAAAACCAGAAATGGCGGTGTGGCTCAGGTGGTAGAGCACTTGCCTTGAGCTGAAGAGCTGAGGGACAGTGTCCAGGCCCAGAGTTCAAGACCCATAACTGACCAAAAAAAAAAGGGGAGCTGGGAAGGTGGCTCAGTGGTAGAGCGCTTGCCTTGCATGCCTGAGGCCCTGCGTTCCTTTCCTCAGCACCACATAAGCAAAAAAGAAAAAAGTCGGAAGTGGCTCTGTGGCTCAAGTGGTTGAGTGCTAGCCTTGAGCTGAAGAGCTGAGGGACAGTGCCCAGGCCCAGAGTTCAGGCCCCACGACCGACAAAAAAAAAAAAAAAGAAGTGGGTAGTTTGGGCAGAGATACAAAGAAGCATTGAGCAGAGACCCCATGAAGATGCCAGGAGATGGAATGGGGGCCCAGGGACACCCAGAGGCACTGGAGCGGCAGGAGGCCGCTGCTCTAGCCGTCCAAGCCCACACCCCTTTTCAGAGATCAGAGATCTGGGCCCAGCGACACGCTGGTGTGGGCACAGCTCACCCCTTGGCCACCTGGTGCCCCCTTTGAGGCTAGGACCATTGGTTTCCACCTTAGCAAGACCTTAGACAAGCTGGGGTACCGCTTTGGTCCCGGAAGAATCAGAGGCAGCAGAGAGGAGAGAGCACTAACAGCTCCCTAGACCTGGGTGAGCCAACACATCAGCCAAACCCTGCAACTGTGTGCAATCTGGGCCTGCCCATGCCCCAGGGACACCGGCTGGGCAGGAGTGGGGGAGGGCCTGATGTGGCCTGCAGCCCTCTGGTCTTCCCTGGTGTACTTCCTGCATGCAAGCTGCCAAGAGTCCAGAGGCTTAGGGCTGTGTCACACGCTCCTCCTTGTGCAAAGGTGGGTATTTTAGTGCAAAGACATTTCAAGGTCAGTTGACACTTTGGTTTTTCATCTTCAGGGTGGCAGTTCAACCCAGAAGCAGAATGTGAGGCTGGGCGCGGTGGTGCCTGCCTGTAATACCAGCACTTGGGAGGTGAAGGGCTGTGGGTTTGAGTCTGGCTTGGACTGTGTAGTGAGGCCTGTCTCAGTCAAGTCAAGTCAGGAGGAAAGGGTGAACATGACTTTGATAGGTTTATTAACATCTGTGCAGTCATTAGTGATGGCTTAGTTTCCAGGTACATGCTGGCATCCCTGCCCCGAAAATTCAGCATGAAATCTGAAACTAGTGTTACTGCAATGCTGGACATTTTTTGGGGTGGGGAGGGGGGAGGCGCTCGAACTCAGGGCCTGGGCTCTTTGCCTTAGTCTTTTTTTTTTTCCGGTGGTGGGGCTGGAACTCTGGGCTTGGGCGCTGTCCCTCAGCTCTTCAACTCAAGGCGAGGCTCTACCGCTTGAGCCACAGCGCCACTTCCAGTTTTCGAATGGTTTATTGGAGATAAGAGTCTCACGGACTTTCCTTGCCCAGGCTGGCTTTGAACCGTGATCCTCAGATCTCAGCCTCCTGAGTAGCTAGGATGACAGGCGTGAGCCACCGGTGCCTGGCTACCTTAGTCTTTTCTTGCTCAAGGTGGCGCTTAACCACTTGAGCCACAGCTCCACCTCCAGCATTTTGGTAGTTTATTGGCGATAAACCGCCTGGCTTCAAGACTTGATCCTCACATCTCAGCCTCCTGAGTAGCCAGAACCACAGTGAGGGTGATAGTTCATCTGCGGAGGGGGCCTGATGAGATACGTGAGCATCTGCAGTGCGGTTGGGACGAGTAGGCGAGTGGAGATGGGGCAGAGCAAACTGTGCTGCTGGCTTTGCGACAAAGACTTTCCATCGCCTCTGTGCTTCTGTCTGTAATTCCCCCGAGGTGGGACTGTGGGCAGTGCCGCTCCCTCTCTTCACTCTGTTCTTGTGGACCACTTTGGGAAGAAGAGACCCCAAATAGCGTAAGCAGTGGGGCTTGCCGCTTCCTAATGCCCTAACTCAGGTAGGCTCACCAGGAGGGGCTGCAGGTGTGATGGCTCCACACCTTGTCCTCAGGACCAAGACACCTTCCATTTTATTACCCACATAGGTGACTTACCTTCCTTCACTGCCCAAGATGGCTACATCAGCTCTAGCCTTTGCATCCACATTCCAGCAGGCAGAAAGAGAAAAGGTAAAGGGCACATTCCTGCTTTTTTCTTTTTCTTTTTTTGGTGCCAGTACTGGAGCGTGAAGTCAGGGCCTCATGTTCCCGCTTGCCTTTTTTTGGCTCTTACCACTTGAGCTATGTCCAGTCCAGCTTTTATGTTTTTGTTTCTAAGAGTCTCACACTTTTCTACCTGGGCTGGCTCTGAACCTTGGCCCTCAGAACTCGGCCTCTTGAGGAGCTAGAATTAGAAGCGTGAACCATTGGTGCCCGACGGTTACTTCCATTTTATTTTGTTGTCAGTCCTAGGGCTTGAACTCAGGGCCTGGGGCCCTGAGCTTGCTTGCTTTTTCTTTTCCTCAAGGCTACCCATCCTCAAGGCTACTTTGAACCACAGCTCCACTTTGGTTTTCTGGTGGTTCACTGGAGATAAAGAGTCTCACAGATTTTCCTGCCCAGGCTGGCTTCAAACCATGGTCCTCAGATCTCAGCCTTCTGTATAGCTAGGATTGTAGCATGAGCCATTGTGGCCTGGCTGCAATTGAAACTTAAAGAAACTTAAAGCTCTGGCAGAACGTTTTGATGTACTACTCCTTGGCCAAAACTTAGATAGTTGCAAGGGAAGCTGGGAAATACATAGACATATATGTATATATATATATATATATATCTGTGTGTGTATATATATGTAATATACATACATATGTATATATAAATATATTTTTTTCTTTCTTTCTAGTCCTGGGGCTTGAACTCAGGCCTGGGCTCTGTCCCTGAGCTTCTTTGCTCAAGGCTAGTACTCTACCACTTTGAGCCACGGTGCCACATCTGGTTCTTTCTGTGTATGTGGTGCTGAAGAATGGAACCCAGGGCTTCATGCATGCTAGGCGAGCGCTCTACCACTGAGCCAACTTCCCAGCCCTTGTTGTTTTGGGCAGTCTCAGTGTGTATCTCTCCCCAGTGCTGGGATTGCAGCCGTGAGCGACCACGCTCTCCTGAGCAGTGTGTGTGACTCAGGGCAGAGCAGGCAGTCTTCCAGGGCTACCTGCGTCTCCTCACAGCTTAGTTTGGAGGGTTTAGGGTTGTGGGGAGTTGAGTTGCTCCTGGCCTCTGCGGAGGGCCCTCTCCTGGAAGAAGCGCCTGACCTGTCTGTCCTGTGCTGTCTCTGCAGTGTCCAACCTGTCCCAGTACTTCAGCCCAGCCTCGGTGTCCAGCAGCCCCGCCCGGGCCCTCCTGCTGGTGGGTGTGGTCCTCCTGGCCTACTGGTCCCTGTCTCTGACCGTGGGCTTCACCTTCAGCATCCTGCACCTGGTGTTCGGCCGCTTCTTCTGGCTGGTGCGGGTGGTGCTGTTCTCCATGTCGTGTGTGTACATTCTGCATAAGTACGAGGGTGAGCCCGAGAACGCCGTGCTGCCGCTGTGCCTCGTGGTGGCCGTGTACTTCATGACGGGGCCCATGGGTGTGTACTGGCGGGGCAGCCCGGGCGGCACGGGCTCCCCCAGCGTGGAGGAAAAGCTCGACCACCTGGAGAACCAGGTCAGACTGCTCAACATCCGCCTCAACCGGGTGCTGGAGAGCCTGGACCGCTGCAAGGACAAGTGAAGGTCAGGTGCCCGGCCGGGTCCCCGGGCGCCAGCTCCCACTCCCAGAAGACAGAAGAGGAGGAAAGCCACCACCCCCCGGCCCCCCCCCCAATCTTAATAAACAGCACTGAGCAAGAAAGTGGCGCCTGCTGAGCCTGGGCGCCAACCCTTAGGACCCGCAGAGAAGACAGAGATGGCCGCTGCAGCTCCATGCCGAGTCTTGTTAGTGGCAACAATATTTTTTAAACAAAAGGATATGACCCTAGAAGCTGTACAGTAAGAGAAATTTATCTGTGCATAGAACATAAAGTTAATTTTTCAAGCATTGACAAATACATCTTTTGTAAGGTTTTTAAATAAAGGCAGCTGGAGTTGAGCGTAGTAGAACGTTGCCTGGAGGGGGCGGGGTGCTGGGCTGACATTCTAGCGGAGTCTGAAGGCCAGCCCGGCTTTGAACCAGGAAGGACGGTGGGCGAGGTCTGCGTGTCATCTTCGTCCCCAAAACTGCAAGCTTTACTCTGTCATTTGCGGTTCATGTTGACACCGTGGATGGGGGAGCCCTGGAATGGAATGTCAGCTCGGGCACCCCGCTGAGCCCCGCTGAGTCCTGTCGAATTGGGAAGAGCCCTGGCTTTTCTTTTTTTCTTTCCTTTTCCTCCTTTGTACTAGGAGATGTTTGATGTTTCCAAAAGGAAAATATAAGCACAGCACTAAGAGACAGTGTCTGTGGGGTGTGATGCCAAGAGCTGCTTGGGTAAGCCTTGAAGAACATTCCAGAATCACTTTCTCTGTCTTTCAGAGAGGTCTGTGTGGGAAGTGGTACTCTGGACGGTTTCTGTCTATGCTTGTTTTGGGTTCTGGACGCAGCTAAGGAGACTTAATCATTGTCTCCTCATGCAGGGTTCCTGGGCTCAGAGCAGCCATGGAGGTTGGGGTTGTTATCCTAGCATTGCATCATTGTGTGTTCCTCGCTTTGTGGCCAGTGTGGTGGGTCTCCAGTTTCGATGGTCTGTGGGGTTGGAGAGAAGCACCGCAGGGTGGCAATCAAGGTCCTGGACAGCGTTTGGGCTGAGGCTGGTGACCAAGCCTCTGTGTGCTAGGAGCCGGTGACGACAGGGTGCCAGGCTATCAGGATGAGGCCATGAAGGCCGTCGGGCGGTGGCCGTGCCCACAGGCCGTGCATCCCGAACCTGACCACCTGCCAGTCCTTGAGCCCCAGTGCCGCGTGTGGTAGTGATTCTCTGGGAAATGATGCAAATCTTTTAGAGGAAGTTTCTAAAACTTGTCGTTTTCAGGGGAACATAACAGAACGGCAGATCTTGTATTCAGATTGCTTGGTGGAGCACTCTTGCCCGGGCTCCGCCTTGGTCGGTCTCACCTGGGGGTCACAGATGCCAGTGTTCTGGGTGGAGCCATTCCAGTTTGGCCATTCCAGTCCCATGGATGACTTTGTGAACCTGGGACAGAGTACTTAGGAACGGCGGCCACAGCATGTACTCGCCTGTTTCAGTACCGAAAGATGGCTCTGCTGTGCTGCCTGGAGGAGGCAGAGAGGTGTTGGGAGGGTAATGTGTGCACGAGGCTGGCGCCCTGCCCTGCGGGGCTCCTGCAGTACAGATGGGTGCCTTGGTTTCCCTTTCCCTTCCCCCTCTCCCACCTGGAGCCTGAGGCCTGCGCTTCTGTGCCCAGAGACGTGTGGACTCATGTCTGTGCCAGGGGATTGAGGCTTCAGACATCGCCGAAAAACGCCATCAGAAATGGGCCCTGTGGTCTCTGGGTTTGAGCTCAGGGCCTCCCAATTTCCCTTGGCTTTTTCACTCCACCACTTCAGCCATTGCTCCCCTTTTTGGTAGTTAATTGGGGATCAGAGTCTCGGGCTTTTCTGCTTAGGGTGTCTTTGAACTAGGATCCTCATATCTCAGCCTCCTGTATAGCTAGAAGTACAGGCGTGAGCCACCGGCACAGACTGGTTTTATTATTTTTTTAGGGAGCCTCACTCCAGGGTAGAACATTCCATGAAATTTGGAGCAGTCTCAGATGCTTGCTTTGAAGCTTTGGAGTTGTGTTTGCCGTATAAAGTGTGTGATGTTTCAGTGAGTGCATTCTTAACCCGAAAGTCAGGGACGCTGCTTTTCCTTCTTGTACCCTGGAAGATTGTAGTGTGCGCCCCCCCGCACCCCCCCACTCTCTTTTCTCTTTTGTATGTGGGAAAATGTATTTTTGTACCGTATCTCATACCTTGAAGAGAAGCCTTTTTTTAAAAATCTTCAAGGCTATAGAATCTATTAGTCTGCACTTCATGGAATGTGGTGGGAAAACGTTTTCCTGACAACACTGTGGGTGTGTGGTAATTAAGGGCCACTTTTTTCACAGTATCATCAGTGTTCTGTTTCCCCCTGCTTCAGGGCCACGTTGAATGTTGGCATTGGTGGGCACAGGGCCTGGGCTCCGGCGCTGTTGGGGTCTGGGGCAGATAGGGATCTTTTCCTGTGACCCGAGCCAGGACAATAGAGTCGGCTTCCTTAGCTGTCCAGTGCCCTTGGCATGAGTCACTTCGGTTCCTAGGCTCTGCACTCCAGCCCCCAGAGTCTCGGTCATGGGCTCACAGGCTCTGAAGGTAGCCTTGTGGGCTTTGCTGTGTCACCTGTTGTGAAGGTAACTGACCACACAGAGACGAAGCTGGCAGACCAGCTCTACAAGAAATTATTTATTGGGGCTGGGAAGGTGGCCTAGTGGTAGAGCGCTTGCCTCGCATGCATGAAGCCCTGGGTTTGATTCCTCAGCACCACATAAGCAGAAAAAGCCAGAAGTGGGCACTGTGGCTCAAGTGGTAGAGCGCTAGCCTTGAGCTGAAGAGCTGAGGGACAGCGCCCAGGCCCAGAGTTCAGGCCCCATGACCGCCCCATTCCCCCCACAAAAAAAAGTTATTTGTGGGCTGGGCAGTTGGCTCAGTGGTAGAGCGCTTGCCTTGCATGCATGAGGCCCTGGGCTCGATTCCTTAGCACCACAAACAAAAATTATTTGTGTAGGCTCTGGGCTTGTACTTGGCCTGGCCTTAGCTTTTTCGCTTAATCCTGGCACTCTGTGCCTTGAGATGCAGCTCTGCTTTCAGGCTGTTTAATCAGAGGTAAGCCTCCAGGCTGGCTTCAAACCGCAATCCTGGGCTCTCAGCCTCTGGTGTAGCTAGGATTACAGACGTGGCCACGAGCGCCTGGCTTCCTCAGAAGGTTTTGGATACAAGTCCCCCAAAGAAGGGGCACGGCGGGCCAGCTCTGCTGTGTGAGCCTGGGTGCGGAGGGCACCTGCTGAGGAGCGAGGAAAGGGAGGGACCTCTCTGGGTGCTGAGGGTACACAAGTCGGTGGGCAGCCGGGGGAGCTGCTGAGGGCGCCCTGCCAGGAGGGTACCCTCACTCATCTGGCCCAGTAATTCAGCAGGACAGCAGAGGAGTACGGCGGCTCCCGCCTGTAATCCCCATGCTCCACAGGCAAAGACAGGACAACCGGAAGTGAGAGGCTGGCCAGGACTCCATGGGGAGGTGCAAACTGCAGTTCTCGGTGTGAACGAGGCCACACTGCTTGTTCTGAGGAGCATTCTGAATTGCTTCACTGTTTTTTTTTGATAAAACGCTCTCCCTGTGAGGTCCAGGCTGGCCAGGAACTTGCTCTCCTCCTGTCTCTGCCTCCCAAGTGTGGGATCCCAGGCATGTGCCACCGTGCCCGGCTTTCTACTTCCATCGATGACCTCTGCCCTTGAACCCATGACTGATGCTGGTCTCCCAATCCACCAAAGAAGGCCGGTGCTTGCCATCCAGCTCGAATGACTGGGAATCCCCAAGGCTCCCGAGTGCCAGCCCTTTGCCCAGCCCTTCTTCCAGTGCCAGGGATTGAACCCAGGGCCTAGTGCGCACTCTACCCCAGAACCACACCCCTAGCCTGCAGCCTTTTTTCAAATGTGTGTCACCATTGTGCTAAATTCTCACTTACGGCTATTTTTGAGCCCTAACAACTTTCTGCTCCTCCCTTGTGAATAACTGAGTTAAATCTACTTTGGTGAGGATGTAAGAGACGACTTAGGATCTGTCCCAGACAGCCATCAGTGTGATGTGTTACAGGTGAGTTTGGCCTGCTGGATTCGTCTCTGTTTGGCACCTCGCTGTTGGCCTTTGTCAGTGGGACAAACGCCACAGCCAGTCATTCATGTCATTTCTTGAAATCCTGTGCCAGCCCATGTGTCTGTGACGTCACACATCCTAGTGTTGCTGCAGATTTCACGGTGTCATTGTGTCAGGCTTATACCTGCATGTGTGCTAAATCTCTGAATACCATGTACTTAAATTGATTTCTTGTGATGGTGACTAGTGCACAATTTCAACCCTCTTTACTGGAAATCACATTTGTGAGGTATGAATTTGATTGGGTTCCTATTTTGTGTATTTTTTATCAGGTTATGGAATTTCTATACCATTTGCTTTGACACAGTAGACAGCTGTCTTACCTGAGCCTGGTGTATGGGTGTGCCAGCACCATGCTGCCTGGAGCCTTGAGAAACTGATTCTACAAGTCTTAGAGAGACAAATGTATTAGGCTTATTTTTTGCAAAGCAATATATACATTCCACTTATTTATTAATCTCTGGCTTTGTATTATGTAGAGATATTTGTAGATTGATTTCAGAACAGAATTAAAATATTGTGAAAATCACACAGCTTGTTTATTGTAATTTTGTTACACTGACTTGTTGTATTTGATCAAGCAGGCATGAACGACTTCCCCCAACATGGGATGCAGTGGCAATGCCATGGTGTGTGTGTGTGTGTGTGTGTGTGTGTGTGTTGGTTTGGATTTTTTGCAGTTGCAGACTTGAACTCAGGAGCTGTGGCTGATGGCTCAGCTTACTTGCTCAACTGCTGCTCTACCTTTAAGCCTTGCCTCTAGTTTGACATTCTTGCTTCTTAATTGGCAATGGAATCTCAGACATTTTTTGCCCAGGCTGGCTTTGAACTACAATCCTCAGATCTCAGCCTCCTGAGTAGCTGGGATTTCAGGAGTGACTATCCATGTCTAGGTTGCCTTATTTTTCAGACCGGGATCTTAGAGTATCCCTCATCCAGCCTGGAACCATGTGGCTTGGGTGACAGATGTGTGCCATATATGTGTCCATATATTCTGAAATGGGGTCTGGCATTTATGCTCAGCTATCTTGAACCACATCCTGATCTCTAGGATTCCAGCCTTCAGCCACTGGTAGTACTTGGGTTTGGCCCCTAGACAAGCATGTGTCACAATGCATTGGATTTGGTGCGTGGAGCCTGGACAGGTCACATGTCCCCCAGGTGTTCAGTGCACACTTACTGGGAACAGCAAGCGGATTCCCCA